TCTCCAGCCCCAATTCTAACTATATTAAAATATAAATATTAAAACATAACTCAGTGTGCTTTGGTAAGCAGATTATACTTATTTTACTATGATTTATTGATTATTTTTCTAATTTTTATAGGTATTTTATACAACAGATTTTGCATCCAGTATAAACTAGGAGCAATTCTCATCATGATGACACTGAACCTAAGACAAAATTGCTGCTCCCAGGGAATGTAGATTGTGGTGAGAAAGGAGAAGAATAAAATCACATAAACTAAAAATTAGTATAGTAATGATTGTCATGAGGAAATAAAATTAAATAATATAATAGGGCCTGGATATTTTTGATTTGCTAACCAGAAAACTTTTTCATGAAGAAATTATTTTTAAGCAGACAAGTAAATGACAATAGGCCTGTTAAAAGAAGATTTGGAAAAGAAAATTTTAGACAGTAAGAACAGTGATTGCAAACCTTTTTGACATACAAATCATCTTTGGTGAGATCTAGATACAGAGAGGGGCAGAGGAATCAAAACTTTGCCTTGTAGCTATAGTCTGTCAGGAAAAACTAATTTATAGTATCATATGGTTGGAATTTGGGTTTAGTAAAAATTAATTAACTGAAATTATACATATGATATTCCTACACTGACTGCATAATGTTCACAAAGATGATTTTATAGGTTGAAGAAGTGAGTAGGGACAGAGTAAGGTCAGTGTAAGGAGAATGGTGTTTCTGCCCTGGTAGGTAGAAGGCTGTAGTGACAGCAGTGGAGAAAGATAATTGATGTAAAATCCATTTCATATGTGGCATGTGGAAAGTGGATCTAGAACAAAAAAAAGAGGGTTCAAGAATGACTCATTTTTTTTAAATTTATATTTATTATTTGACCATTTCATACACGTATACAAAGTAATCATGTCCACTCCTCTTCCAACCCCTTTCAGGAGAAAATACACTTCTCCTTTCCAAATTCATGCTTTCCTAGTATCAGTGTGTCTATATTTTTATTATTTTTAAGCCAGAGTCCAGTTAGTGTTGCTGATGTGAATGTCATCCACATAGACAGGGAGAATCTGCCAGTGGCTACAGTACTAAAGAGAGTGACTTTCCCTCACCCAGCAACTATGAACTGACTACAGTTTCTCAGCTAGGAGTGGGGCCTTTGGAGTTCCACCCCCCCTTCTTTGTGGAACTTTTAATTTTAATTTTATGTGTCTGTGTTTTGCCTGAATGCATGTAAATGCACCATGTGTGTGCAACAGCCATGAAAACCAGAGGAGGGCACTGGATCCACTGGAATTTGAGTTACAGACAGTTCTTAGACTCCATGTGGATGCTGGGATCTGAGCCTGGATCCTCTGCAAGAGAAGTCATGAAACCATCTCTAAAGCCCCTTTTCTTTCTTGTACTTAAGATTGAACCTAGAGCCTCATACAACACGTGGAATTTTTAAGTGGCTTGATCTTATGTAGGTCTTGAATAAGTAACCACCGCTGTTGTGAGTTGATGTGTGTAACTGACAGAGGTCAGCGTTTCACAACACTCCTCCCCATCTTCTGACTCTTTGTTTTCTGTCTCCAATTATGTGTTCTTTGAGCCTTGGAGAAGTGGGGTTGGTTAGAGTTACTGGTTGGATTATGGAATCACACACTTCTATTTAGAACACTGTGGCAAGAAAAGTTGGGACCACAAACAGCTTGCTTCCGTACATATGGCTTGATATTCTCTCAAAGGCCTTCAGAATTTGTAATATCTACCTAGTGTCTCTAGATCTTTCATTCAACATATATGCAATAAATGCTCACCAGATAAAAGGTGTTGTGCTAGGTGGTTAGTATGTCCAGCAAAATAAGGAAGATGAATTCCTTGTGTAAATTGGAGCTTCTAAACTCACAGAAAAAAATAAAGATGTACTCAAGTAGCTATCAATGCAACTAAAACTGCAAGGTGATTAGTGCTTTTAAAAAAGCAACAAAATCAGAGATATGTGTACACTAAATATAGAGAATTGATCTAGTTATGATAGTCTTGGAAGACTTTCCTAAAGAAGTTGCATTTAACTTGAACACAGATCAGTGATTCTGTGACCAGAATTTTTTTTTAATTAAATGTCTTAAGACAGGAAGGAATTTGGTGGAAACCTGGAACCGAAAGCAGGTTTAGCTTGGGTTCTAACAGCAGCGTCTATAGCCTTTGCTCTGTAAGATGTTTATTCATGTACAAGGCAAGAGGGAAAAAGCAGAGACAGGAAAGACACAGACCCAAAGAAGGGTGTGCTTGAGTTGCTCACTGTTGACTGAAAATAATTGCATTATCACTTGAAACCATCCTGTATAAAGACAAAGGCAAGAATGCAGGACAGGGCAGAAGAGCATTGAACTTGAGCCAGCAGCTCCTTCTCATAGTGATGAGTGTTTTTCCATGAACTGTTAATGTCTCTGATTCCAGGTTGAACATCAATGGACTTTGGGCAGCCTTGAAACATTTCATGCCATTGTGCTAAGAGACCTTGACAAAGCACATCCTTAGCACAGTGGCAAGTTTCCACCAGCATTGATTGGTCAATCTCAGTCCACAAGCAGCTGCTTGCTCCAGCAGAAAATAACAGAAGAATCAAAGACGGAGACCTGGAGACTCCCAAGCAAAGCAAAAGATGACTGATAGAATCCTAAGACTAGGACGGAGAGAAGACAGAAGACTGGGGCAAAGGGGAACTGAGGAGCAAAGTAGGAAGCTGAGCATTCAGGACATTGAGTTGATGGAAGGCTTCTGCTTTTTAAATAAAAGAAATGGAAAGCTGTTCTCTTTTTATATGTTCATAGCAGAGAAACAATGTAAATAGATTTGCAACTTAAAAAAATTCACCATCCAGGGCTAGAGAGATAGTTCCACTGTTCAAAGAAACTCTTTCAGAGGTCCTGAGTTCAGTTTTCTCTACCCACATCAGGCAGCTGTAATTTTAGCTCCAAGGAATCCATCACCCTCTTCTGGCTTCTGTGGGTACCTGCACATATGTGGCATACAGTCGTAAACACATGCACACATACACATAAAGAAAAAAAAATGAAAATATGCTTTTAAACATCATCCTCTGTGGATATTGAATTATAGATTAGAAGGGAAGCTAGCAGATACAGAAAGATTCTTCAGCAAAGGATGGCCCAGCCAGTATGTTCATGGAGTAGAAAAGGGGCAAATTCTGAAAAGAAAGGGGAAAATATCAAGAGAATGTGGTAAGGTGTACATCATGGGGTCCAGGAACAGCTCTCCATGGACACTGATGGCTTCATTTCAGCTTGAGTAATGGAATGGATACTAAATAGGGACCCTAGTCACTGAACAGTACAGTGGCAGGGAAAACGGCTTTAGAAGAGAAAAACTGAGCATTCATTTTTGACACACTGAATTTTCCATTTTTTTTTCTGACAGTGAAATCCATATGTAAAAATGTCAGATTTCAAAGACTCCTAGACTACAAATAAGTTGAAATCATTTGTCTTCACATGACAACTGAAGTATTGGATGGATAAAACAATTTAGGTAGATAATAGCATGAGAAAGAAAACTTCAGATAAATCTGCAAAGTAAATGCAACCTCTGGTATATTTGCATACCATATTTTTTGGCAATTTGAGGCATATAAAATATACCAATTTTGTTATTTTATGTCAACATTTAAACTATTTTTATAAAAATCTTATTTTTTAGCATTTCTAACAGGCTACAGAAGAGTAAGGAAATTAAAATTAAAACATGAACTAGAATGATAATTATGAACCTGGGTTTAGAAATCAAAGGGGCCTGGGTTTAACTTCCTGACCTAGATCACACTTGTGTTATTTATTGGCTTACTTAACTTCCTTGTTTCCTAATTCAACAATCTTGAAATGATGTTTTAAGGTTAAATGTGCTCATGTACCAAAATGAATATGAAAGTATACTTTAGTATATGAAAAGATTTTCAGTATCACAAAATTCAGTAGTGTCTGCCAAAGAAGATCAGGCAGCCCAAATTTAAAAGACCATGTGAGAGTCATCTCACATCTATTTTGAAAGTACAGGATATTGGATATTATCTTGAAAGAGGCAATGCAGGGAATATAGAAATGGCTCAAATATTAAAAGCTCATTGCAGAACATTGGAGTTTGGTTCCCAGGACATATACCAGGTGACTCACAATCAGCTACCTATAACTCCATTTCTTGGGATCTGATGCCCTTTTCTGGTCTTTAGGGTCACCTACACTCATATGCATGTAACCACACATACACAGACAGAAGCACAGACATACATACACAAACACACAACAATACATTTAAAAAAAATTTTTAAAGGTATCACTTCACTTTTCTGAAATACAAAACAGATGAAAATATAATCATTTTAGGACCTGACGAGATGATTTAGAGGTTAACAGCACTGTATGCTCTCGCAGGGGACCTGTGTTCAGTTCCCAGCATCCACATGGCAGCTAAAAACTGACTGTAACTCCAGTTCCAGGGGAACCAACTCCCTATTCTGACCTCTGTGGGCACTGCAAGACAGGGGTGCACTTACGCCTGTAGTGTAATACACTCATACACAGAAAATTGCCTACTATTAAATGTAGGCAATACACTCATACACAGAAAATAAAAATAATAAAATAATTTTTAAAATAAAATATATTCATTTTAAATATATCTGTCATACTAAAAACTTGGTTGGTATATTTTGCAGATGTTGATGAAATCAAATAGTCTCCAAGAAAATACAGTGATAACAATAAAATATTTTACTGATACCACTTTCAAATGACTGTTTCGTACTTCATTTCTAGATATTGCAGAATCAGCAAGCTCTGAGGATAAAGTGGATATCTAAATTCCGAGTCTCCTTAAATGGGTAGAAAAGAATACAAACATCTTTAGAGTACATGAAGTTGAACTTTTATTTGGAAAGCTGAATTTCATGTGTAATGAAAATAGTTTTGAACTATACATATCCATAAGCATAATACAAACACCAATCTACAGTACAAACACATTTTAATGAAGATCTACTATGAACATTACCCTACACAAAAAGGAAAAAGTGACCAGGTGAACCTGCTCCATGTACCTTCTGTCTCTTTGAGAATGCAATTAACTTAAGACACAAAACAAAATGTTAGTTCCACCCTACTTGTTTCACTATAGGATCACTGGGGAGATCTACTACCACAGACTACAGACAAACCAGTCCCACTAACCTATTTAAAGTTGTTACACAAATTATACATTAGTGGCATGTAAACATATTTAGGGTTTCAATTGGCAATTATGTTTCAAATACTTAGAAAAACACACCATCATTTTTCATTATTGTCCTCTCTTCATCTCTTCCATGAGTATAAAATAGGAAAAATATTATTTGAGACTTCCAGTGTAATTCCATTGTGCTTTACATTTTTATAAACATGGGTACATCTAAAATATCAGATGCCTTTGTACCAATAGAATAAATCCACCAATTTCACATTTCTTATAAATATGCATGCAGAATTAGTGGAGAACATTTTGTATAGCAAAGACCCTGCTTAATTTTCTTCTGATTAATCATTTTCAATGGCATGTGCAAATCATACTGCTCAGTGAACTGTAGATTTACTTTGTTTTCCATAGATGTGTTTTTCTATAAAAATATATTTATGTGCTCAGAGGAAAAAAGCTGAGTTGGTGTACATGTGGGGTTGACTTTTTGAGACATAATTTGAGAATAGGTTCAATGATGAAGTTAGAAGGCATCTTAGATTTTAACACTTTTACATTTTTTTCATACAAAAGAACACCCTGTGATAATGACCATTAGCACTTTATAGCAGAGAGATTTTGAATCTAAGCAATTCAGCAACTTACCTAAAGTTTATGTATAAAATCAGTACTGGAAGAGGAAACATTTTCCTGACCCTCGGAAAGCTCATTATGAATTTATCCTCATCAACAATCCTTGAGATTATATGCAATCGGTTACATTAAAATCATATTGCCATTAGACTACAGAAAGTTACTGTAAAATCAAATAAGAACTAAGCTCTACATTTTAGCAGCTGCCTCTTCACCCAGTGGGCATTTTCCAAATAATTATTGTCCATTTATAATCAACATTGCACATCACTGAATATATCACTCATTTTCTGAGAGGAAAAAAAACAAAATCCATTTATCCTAACTGGATTTTTAAAAATTTAAAACACATTGAGTCATTAAACATATGAATAATATAATTCTATAATTAAAATCTGGGAAGTCACGGACCTTCTTCTGCTTCCCTGAAGATACTCGTCAGAATGCAGCTAAGTAGCAGAGAGGAGAAGGTGACAGAAGACAACAAAAGGGTAAAATTCGTTCATTCACAAAATATGATTAAAAACACCCTTTGTTTATGAAAGAGCTGAAGAATAATGAAGTGCATTAAGAACACAAATTTCAACATTTCTGTCAAAATGATTTAAAATTTGTGAAATTCTTAATGAATCTATTCTAAATTTTTATATATGATTTTCAACCATCATGACCCTTTCAAAACTACATTTTCACTAATGGCAAAGAAGAGGAAGAAAAATAACAGAATTAAACTTGTTGGTAACAAACTTCACTTCCTGGAGCTCAATACCACAGTTCCTCCCAGATAAGTCAGTGCAGATTGATGGTTTTTCTTCCAGAAGAGCTGTGTCTTGGAAATCAGATGTGTATAGAGTTCAAATTCCACTGATAGATGTTTGGATCCTTACACTTACAAGGGTTGTGGGACACAGATGCCTTTGTCCTTTGAATTTTAATTCTAGGAGAGTGGTTAAATTTTGAGTCCAGGAACTATGGGTTTGAACAGAACATGCTTTTTCCCTTCCTATGTATTTTCTAAGGACCCATGAGGTTAAAAAGGATACTACATGTGCATTATTGCATTGATCATTATAAATGTCCTCAACTTTAATACCCAAGCAATATAATGGGTCACATTAACTAAGTGTGAAGAATTAATAGCAAACATCAACAATTACAAAAACTAAAGTAAAAATCTCTGAGTTAATATCCCTTTACATAGTTAATAAGTTTTTGATAATGCTAAAATGTTCCATTGAGAAGTTGAACACTAAATTTTATTTTATGTATGTATATTCCTTTCTACCATTTCTAAAACATTCCCATGTGTCATTTTAAATGCCCTGGTAGCCACATGCCAAGAACAAAATTCCCTGAATCTGTATTTTGACAGAAGAAAAATATAGAAATGAAATCAATAAAACCAGTACAAATACATTTAAAATGTAATATAAACAAATGGATGTATAATAGTGTCTTCTTTCTGTATTGAGAACTGGGTGTCTACTCCAAAACTTATTTTGAAGAATTTGGAAGCATTTCCCTCAATATTTATGCCATAGTTTAAATTGAGACAATTGAAAGGGAAGCAATATAAGAACAAAGTTCAAAGGCTTCACATAGTCTTCAATTGTGGAGCAAAGGAGTGTTTTGAGTGCCCTGGGAGGATGAAAATGGCAAGTCTATACTTTAGCTGTACAATCATGCCTATTAATGTTCTTTTAACCACTTCAAAGTAAAACACTATATCTTAAACTGGGTAAATATTAACATAATATGTACAATGCATTCATGAAATATATTTAAACATACCATTATATAAACATAAAGGTAGAAAGCAATCAGCATAGAAATAAAGATATTAAATAGGACCTTGAACATTTTATGTCTGTTCTTCATAAAATAACCCTCTGACCTCCACTCCCTTCACAGTACAAGTTAGTCCAAGTGAAAAACCAAATAAAAATGTCATAACAGGTAGAAATAAAAAATTAATGCTGAACTTGAAACCATTATAACTCTGCTTAAAGATGACAATCTCTGGGCAAATAGGAGCTCAATAAATACTAGTTGTTTACTCACCTAAGTCTTTTCTTACTAAAGTTTTAAATAATAAATTTAGACTGCATTGATTCAAAGAATTTTTTAATAACACATTTATATTTCTTTTTACATTTTAAATAACCAGTTTGTTTGCTTACAATCTTTTAACCTGCAGTGAAGCAAAGTCACTAAGACAGTTTTCAGAAACTGCATACAATTGTACATCCAGAGATAAACCCACAAGGTAGCAACATCTATGCACACATACTGAATCGTACAACCAGGCAGATATGGAGTATGCTAAATGGGTCCTTTGAGTTCAATCAAAGTGGATCTAAATAGGATTTGTTTTTGTTCTGCTTTTTGAGCACCTGAAAACAAAACACAAAATAAAAACACAGGCCTGAAGTACTTGGTGGTTGATTTTTTTTTTTTTTTTTTGAAGGCAGTGCTATTTTTCTGAGCAAAATTTAAGGATGCCAGCCTCTGCACAAAACATGTTTCCATTCCTATGTAAAAGTTCTCGATCCTTTGAAAAGTAGGGCTAGCTAGCCATGTTGTATGTGTTGGGTTTATGCCCGAAGTGGAAATGTTGCTGTAGAACTTCCGTTGCTTTCGACAGACCCCTTCTCCTTAGACCCAGCATAGGCGCCAATAAATGATCCATCTTCATTGAACAAAGCATGGTCTCCCTCTCCATACTCCACTAGGCTGTCTGCACTCTCTGTGGCCTGCATGTTCCTATTCAGGGACCGGACGCTTCCTTTAAGAGGTTTTTCATCGCTGTCACTAGAAAATAAAACAGATCCAAAACAGTTCCACAAGATCCAATGTTCATACAAAAAGCAAGGCTCATTCACAAGCGCTAATAGGTTCTAAAATTTTCAGGACATTCCTATTAACACAGAAGACAAGAGACATAAAGCGGGGATAACACTTCCACAAAAAAGTGTTTTTAAAAGCCATAACAATTTTCTTCATTCTGAGTAATCAAGGAACAATTTTCTGTTTTTCACAATGCTTCAGGAGCTACGTTTGGTGGAACATAGAGATTTAAGTCTAACACACAGAAGTAGAAGTAGCTATGGTACGGATACCTGTGTGCCCCCTAAATTCATATATGATGGTAATAAGGGTGCGGTCAATGGGAGATTGCCAGTCATGGAGACAGAGCCCTCCAGAATGGGAATACTACTCCCAGGAAAGAGATACAGAGACCTGCCTTGCCCCTTCCAGGGAACACAGGGAACAGGAGCCATCTACAAACAAGAAGTAACTCTCACCAGATAGTGAATATGCAGTTATACGGATCTTAGAATTTTCAGCCCTCACAATTGTGAGAAATACATTGTTGCTATTTCTAAGGCACCTAGTTTGTGACATTTCAAACAGCCACCTAGTGATCTAAGGCAGAGGACAGAGGTCACGTTCCTTTCCTTGTGAACTCTTGTTGCTTTCAGTCTTCACAATTTAATCTTCTGTCTTCCTTTTCTGATACACCAACTCCCATGTCCTTCTAAACATTTTTGCTTAGTATAATCAAACAAGGTCTGTTTCTTACAACAAATTCTATAATAAAATTGTTAAAGTACCCTAATTAGTGGGTCACCAATAGAAAGAGATATCTGGTATGATAGGGACTTGGGGAAAATGAAGGATGGAGCAAGGAGTGGAGGAGACTAAGAGGGTGAGGGGGGAGGAATGATCAAAGTATGTTATGTTTATATATATGAAGCTGTGGAAAAAAGAAAAAATAATTATGAACAACATAAATATACTATCAGGTGTGATTTTTGTTTTTTATAGAAAGGCTATCTGAGGTTATAAAATACCTATAAAATGATGTAATTTCTAAATTTCTGATTAAAATGTTTTTAAGCACCAGCTCCTAAGTGACTAGATGGTGAGGACAATCTGACATATCATTGGGAAAGGAAAAGCTTTGGGGGAGTGTTAGACATCAGCATAATGTGGGAGTTCTGAATGATGGCTCCAGAATTAGGACACTCTCGTTCCAAAAATAAAGCCAAACAAAAGATGTGGCATTGCCTTAGTGGCTAGGTAAGGAGTAGTCAAGATAAATATTCAAGGGCATAGCATCTAAGAAAATGACCGAGGCTATATGGGGAACACAGAGTTTGCTGATGAATGTGGTTGTTGGAAAAGACATTGGAAAACATAAACTGCTATGGAGCAGTGTGCGTGAAACAACATAGGGAGTGAAATGGTCTGGCTTTCTAAAGAAGATACAGCCTTCCTTCCTCCCTTCCTTCCTTCCTTCCTTCCTTCCTTCCTTCCTTCCTTCCTTCCTTCCTTCCTTTCTTCCTTCCTTCCTTCCCTCCTCCTCCTCCTCCTCCTCCTCCTCCCTCCCTCCCTCTCTCCCTTCTTTCCTGTCTCCCTTCCTTCATTCATTCCTTCCTCCCTTAATTTCTTCCCTGTCCCTACTCCCAATTTTCCATTTCTCAAGAAATACAAAAGTATAAAAGAAAACATCCAGTAAGCAGAAAAAGAAATGAACATAGATCAAAGCAGAGGTACAACATTGCTCAGATTTGTATCTGTTACTCCTGTAGGGCCAATGAAATCCTCTATATCTCCAGTTACAGAGATGGATCCAGAGATGAGCCAGTAAGGCTCATTTCTTGGTATGGATTCAAGGTCATATATGTTAATATCAATATAACTGAAATTTACAGTAACTTTCTTAGCTCCTATATACAGAGAATATACAGACGTTTTGACTAAAATATGGTGACATCTCAAGCAAAATAAGCTAAGAAATTGAGTGGATGGTAGAAAACAGAGAATTTAGAGTTAGGAGTTTTTGTTGTTTTTTTTTTTTTTGTGAGTATGAGTTTATCACCTACATGCATGTAAATGCACCCATGTCATCAATGCTCATGGAGGTCAGAAGAGGGTGTCAAATCCCCTGGAACTGGAGTTTCAGACAGGTGTCAGCTGCCATGTGGGTGCTAGAAATCAAACCCAGGTCCTCTGCAAGAGCAATCAGTGCTCTTAACCTCTAAACCATCTCTTCAGCTCTGAGAGTTAGGAGTTTTAATACTTTCCCCATTGCTACCTACCTTGAACTTGACCCCTGGTTGTGTTTCCCATGTCTTGTATACCCTTTTATACCCTTTTGCATTTGGTCATGAGGTGCACAGTTGTTATTAGTGACACAGAGGTTCATGCCCTAGTTTATCTCTTTTGGATGATTCTTTTTCCAGATACTTCTCTGGAAGAAATAATTCTCCCCCCTTGAGCTCTTTTATTATAATTTATTTTTAAAAATCTTTTTTTCCCCCAGAAGTCTAGAATTTCACCTTTGGAGGTGAACATGGCCAAATAGATGCAAGATTAATGCAACCCAAGTTCAGAAGGATAATACTAAAAAGTAGCTTAAAGATGTTTTGGCCCTTCCAAACAAATGCTCAGTTTATATAAAAGTAACGGCATGTGTTATGCACAAAGTTTCAACAAAAATGTCTCTCTGCCCATTACTTTACAACTGTAATTGTTAATACAGCTCCGACCTTGGACATAACAATTCAAGTATCATAAAATTGGATAAGATAAAAGTGGATAACATAAAAGAAGAAAGGAAGAAAAAGAAAGAAAGAAACAAACAAACAAAAATTATTTGATGTTAATTTTTATCAAGGGGTTGAAATATATTTCAGTAGTTTTAAGGACAATCTCAACACTTTGAATTAAACTGATGAAATTATTCAATTATTAAACACAAAGCTACATTTACCTGTATTCACCAAAAGTTTCATCTTTTACTGACTGAACTTCTGGATCTGGATGCAAATCCTCCTTTTCTTTCACTGAAACAAAAACTTAAAATGAGATTGAATGGAATGCAAAGACACTGTAAATAAATTTCAGCACTGCAGAAGAGAGGTGAATGGTGAAGAAACACTGTTCAGAAGTTTTTATATCAGCAATACTAGTTTTTCTGATGTTATGTCTATAACATATCATCTACTTTTCATTCAAACAGAAAAAGGACTTTTGTGGTTTCTAAGTATATGTTTTTAAGCTTGCAATATGTGGAGACCTTCATATTTCTCCTCCACATCATATGAGAATTTTGCCTTATTGGAAGAACCCAACTTAGACTGATTTGTCTATGAACACACAATACTAAATATTAATATTTTTCTCCAAACCTTTTGAGAATTTAATGGGCTCCTATGTGTCACAAAACCAATTGAAATGAAAAAAACTGTCAGTCATTATGACATTCTACATCAAGCTCTCATTCAAAACTAGTTAAGCCATCAAAATAATCAAGGTTAAGTTTGCATTTAAAGTAGAAGTTTATACAAGTGACTTCAAAGATCAATCAGTTGGATAAAGTGTTAAGCATAGGGACCTGTAGTCCATTGTCAGCATCCATATGGGAAGTGCAGATTTGATGGCACGTAGCTGTAATTCCAGCTCTGGAGAGGTGGATGTAAAAGCATCCCTAGGGCTTGCAGGACAACCAATCTAGCCAAATTTGCAAGCTCTAGGTCGTATCCAATACTGATGTGCGGCTTCCACTGCCACATGCGTACATGTGTATATGTACACCCCCCACACACACACACAAAACACAATCTAGATTTACTTGAGACACTGGAATGTGAGATTTGCTCTTCCTTTCCTTTCCTTTAAAAACTCAAGTGAACAAAACCCTGTCAAGACCGTTTTGACAACTACTTCCTAGGAGATTCCCTTATTTGTTTTATAACTAAAACACAGAATCTTTTTCTTTTAGGGGCATGGCTGAAGAAGCTCTTTAGAACACAGATGGATTCACATTTCACAGATGGTTATTTGTTGAGGATAATGAATGAGAAATGCTGTCTCTCTTTAAAGTTTCTGATAGATGACCTAGAACACTCATTAGTCACTGTGACCATAATAGTTCACATCTCAGACAAAAAAATGCAATGTACAATGATATAAATTATTCGTGCTGTTTCAGAAGAAACTTTAAAAATTGTGCTCATGATGGTTTATGCATATGAAAAATATTTGTTGGGTGGATGACAGACCAATAAGGAACAGTTCACTAATCTGAATATCATAATCTAAAAGCTGTGAGAGTTAAATATTCCACTCTTTGTAAAAGCATCATGCATCCAGAGGAAAATTAATAACAATGTGTATTTCTAAAGCAGAAGTTGAATGTGCAGTTCATTCTGCATAGTAATTGGAAATGTATTCTGGGCAATGGTCTGATCAACTCTAACAGAGCTGATTAGTTCAGCTAGTTTATTAGAATGTACCAGCACAAACAGCTGAGCCATATATTTAGAGAGAGAGTATATTGTATACAGATGAGCTTCTTTGGACATTAAAATATATGTGCTGAGCTTGGTGGCACATGCCTTTAGTCCCAGCATTTGAGAGGCAAAGAGCTAAATCTCTGTGTGATCAAGTCCAGCGTGGTCTATAAAGTGAGCAGACCCAACTTGGACTACCGGGAGCCTCTATCTTGAAAAGAGCAAAAAAAATTTCACTGAATAAAAAAAGTTTTTTGATATTTGACACTTTTGCGAATATAAAATATATATGTACATATTATGATCTTTGTTAGAGATTATATTAAATACTGAAAAGTAGCATAGAAACAATATCACAGATTAAGCATATTCTCTTTCCTTGGTTAATTTAGAGATATTTTCCCTCTAATATGTTGCATATTAAATGTATTGATATAAATTTTACTTACATGTGTAGAATGGCATTAAATAGCAGTTTTACCTGAATATTTTCCACCTCTGTTCCTCTTCACGAAGCAAACAGTTAAGAGTATTAATGTGAGAAGAGCAATTGCACACATTAGTCCAATAAACCAGCCTTGAGTGGAGATGTCATCATATAAGCCAGCATATTCTGTCACAGAGAGAAGTCACAACATTGAATGTTAGAAGTACTCCTTTATATTTTATAACTTTGAAGTTCAATCAGATATCATTTTAAAATAGATGATAGATGATAGAAGATAGATGATAGACAGATAATGGATAGGTGATGGATGGATAGATAGATGATAGATGGAGAAATAGATGATAGATAAATAAATATATAGGTGATAGATAGATTAGATAGATAGATAGATAGATAGATAGATAGATGATAGGCAGATGATAGGCAGATAGATGATAGATAGATAGATAAATAGATAGATAGATAGATAGATAGATGATAGATAGATTTTTATCTTTTCTTTGATTCAGAGGGAAAAGGTGATCTGAAAGGCATTTCATTGGTTTATTGGGGGTGAGCACTAGGAAATCATTATTTTCCCATTAAGAAAGGGGTTTTGTCAAGTTACATTTAGCTCTGAGGATGAAAATCAGAAAAGAGGGTGCAGTTAATGCAGAAGCAGCAGCAAGCAAGCAACAGCAAGCCTTCCTGGGTTTTAAGTAGGTCACCATGTGGCCTTCAGGAACTGTGGTTTGTTTCCGTTTTCCTTTTAGTTTTTGTTATTAACATTGGTAATTAACAGGATATACTTTCAGCAGATAACTCTGATAAAACTAGTAGACATTGGACCATTGTCTCAAATTTTCATATGATAATGTTGAAATGCTCTATATGCCAATAAAAATTGAAATTGGGGCTTTTATATCTAGTGTAGCCTACATTTTTACCTTTAATATAAAATGTATGTGCAATTAATCCATAGGACATGGGTGCATTTTCTAAGACTACCACCGACACAATCTTGTTTCTCACCTCTCCCTCTTGTCTCAATTACATCTTGAAAAATGCTATCGTTATCACCCCAATTCTTAGTCATTAGGCGAACAATATGTTCCGCTCCCGGCTCAAATACCTCTACAGGGTGAATCTTTTGAGTAAGATTTACTCCTTCTGTTATCTTCCTGATACCTTTACCTACGAAAGGTACACAGTTAAATCATATGAATTTTAATTACTGAAAGGCAGGACAAGAAATGTAAATACAAAAAAAAATATATATATATATCATTATT